CCTGACATGGGCCCCAATTTGTTATGGACCAGACCAAACCCCCTTCAGATATATCAAGGAAATAGTCTATACCCTAACCTTTTCATATTTAAAGGCAAGTGTAAGATGCTGTGTTCCAGTTGCCTTTCGATTGGTTAACTAGTCAGCTTTAAGCAAAACACTTTTTATTCTTCTACTATAATTAAAATATAAGCAAAAGAAAGAAGAATTGGTATAACTTTAACTCTACTGGAAAACTTAACAGAATGATTGATTATTTAACTGCTGTTCCAATATAGTAACATCCCATAAACACAATAAGCCAAGTTCAGTAAGATAGATTGTCTCATATGCAATTCTGGCAGGAGAGAGAAAGATATGGCCATTTCCAGAACTAGCTTCAAAAACCCCAAGAACTGCTGGAAACTAAGCTAAAACGCTAGTTCTCTTGGTGCCAGACTCCACCCATTCATGCTGTTTTTCAACTTTAAAAAAAACCCCAGGCCGTACAAGCTGTTTACTTTATTAGCTTGCAACAGACACCTAAAAACAGATCGCTCATTATCTCTGCCTCACTTCTCTTCATAAAGAAAACCAGGACAAACTATTTCTCTGTTTAAAGCCATAGTATCGTCACATAAAAAACAAATTTTTTGCTATGTATACTAATATCTTGGTGTGTCTCAGCATCAAGTTTTGTTTTATAGTACTCCTGTGTGTATTATAGTATATTGGCTTGGGACATTTCATTCCATTAAGGGCACCATTTTGAAATAAATTGTTATTGGCTCCATATTCTTTTATACCTTGTGTTGCAAAATTCTATTTTTTAAAAATTTTTTTCATGGATAAGGGCAGTTAAGAGTCGCATTGCTCTAGGTCTGGAGTCACATGTAGGCTAGACCAGGTAAAGATGGCAGTCTTCCTTTCCTAAAGGGCATTAGTGGACCAGATGCGTTTTTCAAAACTATTGACAATGGCTACATGGTTGCCATTAGGCTCACTTTTTATTCCAAATTCTTTAAAATTTAAATTTTAGTCATAATTGGATTTGAACCCATGCCCCAGAACTTTGTTCTTGTGTTCTGGACTGTTAGCCCGGTGACATTAACATTATGTCACTGCTGCCCCTTGATCAGAACAATCATACTTTGCACACAGGGACAGACATACAACCCATGGATTGAACGAGGCTGCATCTGAAGGCTGTTTGCTTGCTCTCTTAGTGCTCTGTTAGAGCTCACTCACTTTGAGACTACCTGCATGCTTGCATCACCCTTGCTTTGACCTATATTGCCTGTCAGCACAGTCACAGAGCCAGACAGCTTGTCATGCTGGTCAGCAGTCCCCAGTCAAGGGGACAGACGTCTTACTGTATGGTACATTGCTACATCAGTCTTGCACATGCACAAAGCACCAGCAGTTTACGCAGCAAGCACACTTCATTTGCAGCCAGCAAACAGTCATAGCTCAAAGGGGAGTAGTCCCTAGTGAAGTCCATGGAGGCACCCATCTACCGAGGGTCTTTGCACAGGGCAGAGACAAGTCAAGGGCAGCCTCCAATAACATTGCAAGTGCTTGGTCAGGATCAGACATCCAATTGGTGGGTTTTGGTCAGGGTGTTTGTGTTTCTGTGATTCCTTAGCAACCAGACCTTAATGAGCACAGCTAAAGAGGTATATAGTGATCAATCAGGGCAATGGGAAATTCTTGACTGGGGCTGTCTGGTAACGTTGGGGTTTAAGGGGTTGAGCCATGGTTAATTCAGTATTTCTGACTGATAAAGACAAGGGGAAAAGGGATCTGCTACATCTGGAAAGGAGACCGGGGAACCTATTCATGGGGATTGCAGCTTGGGAGGCGGGCTGAGTGACAGTTATGAAATGGGGAAACTGTATATTTTACGGGGAATAAGGTAAAGCATGTATAGAACAGGATCACTTGAAGGAAGGTATGTGAAACCTAGGAAAGTGAGGCTCTTCAGGGAGCCCACTCGCTGTCAAAGATACATGTCTGAGGACTCACGATCCCTGGCGATCTTTGTGCATTGGTTCTCTTCTGTAGACCTCCCAGCCCCACATACTGTTGACCATTTCATGCAATACAAACACCATTGGCTACTGAGACCAGTGTTGTTATACCAAAGTCTGCACATCTGGAGCAATGGTGCCAGTTGCTAGACTCCCTTCCAGCCATGATGTTCACATTTCCTACACACGGTGCAGCAACTTCTCTGGTCAGGCATTGCTTCATGAACTATCATGCATGCAAACTGATGTCTGACTTCACAGTGTGATAGTTACAATAGGAGCTACACAGAGACATGAGCGAACGGATTTAGTGGCAAAGCTAGGGCTTTTCTCTTTAGAACAACGAAGGATGAGAGGTGACTTGATAAAAGTGTACAAAATGATCAGAGGTGTAGATAGAGTGGACAGCCAGAGACTTTTTCCTAGGGTGGAGGTATCTATTACAAGGGGGCATAGTTTTAAAGTGAGTGGAGGTAGATATAGGGGAGATGTCAGAGGTAGGTTCTTTACTCAGAAAGTGGTAGCGACGTGGAATGCATTGCCAGAGAGGGTAGTGGAGTCGGCCTCATTAGGGGCACTTAAGCGGCTATTAGATAGGCATATGGATGATAGTATAAGGTAGGGGTGGAGGTTAGAAAGACCTTAGGATTAGGGTAAAAGTTCGGCACAACATCGTGGGCCGAAGGGTCTGTACTGTGCTGTACTGTTCTATGTTCTGTGTTCTATGTGAGCATATTTAAATGACTGTGAGACTTTGTTTGCAATGTGAAAGTTGCACTGGAATGAAGAATGGTTTTTAACTCAGCAGGAGCACTTTCCTCCTGCGAGGACCAGAAATCTTTCATCATAGGGCATGAAGAGCCTAATGTTGGGCACCCCACCACTTAACTGGCCTTTATGAGCCTTTTCCCCCAGGATTGAAAGAATAGGAAGGATTAAGTGATGTGAAAGGGAATGGCACAGCCGATAGTCCTGGTAGGGGTGGGATAAAGGTAGTGAGGTAATCCCAGTGAATGAGTAGACAATGCCGAGGGCATGCACAATTAGCACTGTTGGAGTGGATGACTGAATGAGGGAAGATGTTGCTTGCAACAGTGAACCTTAGTGGGAGGTCTGTGTAGTAGCAGAGATGGTGTGAGTGCCAGGTGGCAGAGAGAAGTGTATAGTATTTAATCTGGCTTTGCAGAGCAGGTCATTCACATTCTTCCTGGCAGGATCTCGTGGCGTGGCTACGTCTGGCAGCCCTCCATGAAGAGGACAGCTATCCGCTGCACAACCCTTGGCCCTTGTTGAGGAATCACAGTATCAATTTTCCCTTTCTGACATCATTCCAAATTATTCTGGTACTAAACATGATATCATGAGGATGTCAGTATTTTTCTGGGTGCACAGCGGCCTTTCAAGTATGGCATGGGTGCCGGGGTTAAGTGTATCCAGGGTATCTAGTAAATGGATGGTTCTTTCAGGTGTGTTAAGTGGTAGTAGACCTGGCTAGCATCAGAGACAAGGGGTGCCATAGGGATGGGGTAGGTGGTTAATGAGCCAAGTTTGGTACAGTATGGTGAGAGAAGTTGCTGAGCCCCGTGGAGAAAACCTTTTGTGAAATTCATTGAGCCAAAATATAAGATTCAACCCATAATTTATCAGCATCTCTGCAATTATTTACTGTCGTCTACACTGCTTACGGTGCTGTGGGTCTTTGCATCATTGGCAGATTCACGTATGTGACTGTGCATTTTAAGTCAATAATGAACATAGTGAATGTTGAAGCCCTGGCGCAGAATCTTTGGAATACACCCAGTTGCTTCTTTCCTATTTGAGACTGGTTGTATTTTAGGTGATCTCCTTCATTTGCAGACACCCAAAAAGCCATGACTGTTTTCTTTACAAATGCTGATTGATCACTGTATATTTCCAGTATAATGGGCTATATTTATGCCCTCAGAGCATTTAACTCAGCTGGTTGTGAAATTATTTATGAAATTTTCTTTAATGTATAGAATTGTGATAGTTCTACTTTTTCTTGGAATTTCTTACTGAATTACATTAATAAGATTCATAACTGCTGAGCCAATGTAAAGTGACTTTGTTTAAATTATTAACAGTGTAATGGAGCAGCTGAAAAAGGCCCAGAGAGCAATTGGTTCAAATCAAGAAATTGTTGACAAAAGGGTTAACAATGAAACTCTAAAATCAAATAGCTTTTGTTTTTAAAATTAATTTATGACAGTTAGGATAAATTAATTCTGAAATTCAAGTTTCAGTTTCTATGAAAATTCAAGCAATTATGCAAATACCCCATCAATATTGGATGTGGGAGCAGTCAAAGATGTTATAAAATAATAAACTGCAAGGAAACTATTCGCATGTGTAATAAGGCGCACATTGTTACGGTGCTTGGTTTTGTGGGTGATATCAGAACTTTCAGCTTGCAATAGCTAGGCTGCATTTATATCTTCTCCATTGGGTTTCTTTTGCTGCTTTACTGAAACAGTGAATTCATACTGGAGTATAGTTTACCTTTAGTATCTTGGAAACAGAACAGACTGTTCTGATATTACAGATCTGTATCGTTCATCAGTTATCCACCAGCACCATTCCAAAATGGCTATTCGCATTTATAAGCCTGAATGTGAGTGATGGAAGACTGTTCAACTAAAAAGGAATTATGGTTGATGCTAATCTTGTTCACAGCATTGGCACATGCAGGTTTACCAAAGAGAATCATTGAAAAAAACAGTAGAACATTAGTGCAGTGGACAGAAGAACAATAATGGGTTGATTATTGCCTTCCTCCTCCAATCCTAGTGGCAGTGAAGTCGATTGCAGAGCTCTGTAATGCTTTTCAAAATGTGGGTCACCACCTCCAATGGGATCATACACCAAAAGTTTGGGCTTGTTAAGATCCAAAGTAGCAGACGCTGCATTGGAGCTCTGACTGAGTGCAAACACAGCAAGACCACTTTAACTGAACATTTTTATTTACACTAGGCATGGCTTACAGTCCAATCTTTGATGCTGGATTGCCGTTTTGAAAACTTCAACTAAAAGTAGCTGTCTGTTACTTTGAAATCGAACAATCGAACCCTGCCTTCTCCATGCTAGTAAGTTTCCTTCCACTCTCATAGTTCTCTCCCCTGTGCTGTCTTAGCCCTGGGATCATGACAGTTTTCAAGGGATAGGATCACAATGGGAAACACTGACCCATTGGCAGTCTTAATGGGAGCAGAAAGCCAGCACCTCAGAATGGAAATTGAAAACTTGGGGCAGTACATTGTTTAAATTAATGAACGTTTGTTTCTCATGTACGTTTTTCAGGTAGTCTGTGTTCACCTTCACACACACTATCTAATAGTCTGGGAAGATATATTCAAATCCCACCTCAGCAGCTGGTTGAATTAACATTCAATTAATTAATAAATCTAGAATTGGAAGCTAACTTCAGTGATGGTACCGTGTAAAAATCCATCTGGTCTACTAACGTGTTTTACGGTTTTAGTTTTATCTTTCTTTCCTGGTTCTGGTCTACAAGTTACTCCAGACCCACAACATTATTATTGACGTTTAACTGGCATCTGAAATGCCTGACAAGCCACTCAGTTATTCCAAACTGCTATCGATACCAGATGGACTGCTACAGTTTTAGACACTTTCTTAACCAGTACATTTTTAAGGCTAGGAGACAAAAACTGGCCTTGCCAACAAAGCCCATATCCACAAAACAAGGTGTAAAGGTTAAAAAGTAACATGAAGAGATTATTTCAGTTCTGCAACAGTAAAAGAACAATGTGAAATGCAAATTGACTTGAAACTGTAGATGAATGGATTTTGATTTTGATTTTTGATTTTTTTTTCTCTCCAGTAATAACAGAGGACATGAGCAGTAAGCAATAAACAGACATGCTCTCAAATAGAAATCTGTCTATTGTCCCACCTCATGTCTGAGGGTTGGACCATAGTCATCGGATATGTTCACACTTATAGACAAAGTATTGTGGTGGTTTTCCATTGGATAGCTAATGAGGAAACTCTCCCGCTCTTACCACCTGCCATAACATATATTGAAAGGATGTATAAGCTGACAATCAACCTGTTTGTCCAGGCTGTAAAAGCATCATCCATTATTAACAAGTCCTGGTTTGGGACTCAAACATTGTTTTTCTGGCCCAGAGGTAGAACGGCTACAACTGCTCTACAAGAGCCCTTTATGCATATAGAGATAGTCTAGACAAAATGAATTGATACGTGATGAGATTGAAGTTCTGGGCAGCTGAAAAAAGTGCAAAGCAAATAATCTCCAATGACTGACATTTAACCTGTTATGATATGAGAATCTAAGGAAAGGGTTATTGAAATATTAATAATCATTATGAAGGACTCACAGGACATTGAAGAGGAAGGGTAAGCTAGCCAGTATTATAAAAGATGATTGCGTGAGTTTCTTTAAGATATTTAAGGGCAAAAGTGGACATTGGGCTGCTGGAAAATGCCGCTGGAGAAGTAGTAATGGGGAACAAAGAAATGGAGGAGGAACTGAACAAGTACTTTGCGTCAGTCTTCATGTTGGAACACATGAGTAACATCCCAAAAATTCAAGAGAGTCGGGCTGGGGGGACAGAGGTGAGTGTGGTGGCCATCACCAAGGAGAATGAAAGGTCTGAAGGTGGATAAATTACTTGTAACCTCCCTGTTTAAAAAGGGAGTAAGGCAAAACACAGGAAATTACAGGCCGATTAGCCTGACCTCAGCTGTTGATACGATTTTGGAATCCATTGTGGAGGATGAGATTTCTAATACTTGGAAGTGCATGGTAAAATATGGCAAAGTCAGCATGGTTTCACCAAGGGGAGGTCACAGCTGACCAATCTGTTAGAATTCTTTGAGGAAGTGACAAGCAGGTTAGACCAAAGATGTTGTCTACTTGGACTTCCAGAAGGCCTTTGACAAGGTGCTGCACAGGAGGCTGCTGACTAAGATAAGGGCCCATGTTGTTAGAGGCAAGGTGCTACCATTGGATAAAAGATTGGCTGTCTGGCAGAAATCAGACAGTGGGGTTAAAAGAGTCCTCCTCAGGATGGCAGCCGGTGACTAGTGGTGTTCCACAAGGGTCAGTGTTGAGACGACAACTTTTCACTTTATACACTAGTGATGAAGGAACTGAGCGTAATCTGGCTAAGTTTGTCAGTGGTACAAAGATAGGTGGAGGGATGGGTAGTATATTGGAGGCTGGGAGGCTAGAGAAAAACTTAGACAGATTAGGAGATCGGGCAAAGAAGTGGCAGATGGAATACAACATGGGAAAATGTGAGCTCATGCACTTTTTTAGGAAGAATAGAGGCATGGACTATTTTCTAACTGGGGAGAAAATTGAGAAATCTAAAGTGCAAAAGGACTTGGGAGTTCTCATCCTGGATTGTCTAAGGTAAACTTGCAGGTTGAGTTCGTAGTTAGGAAAGCAAATACAATGTTGGTATTTATTTCAAGAGAACGAAAATATAAAAGCAGGAATGTACTTCTGGGGCTTTATAAAGCTCTGGTCAGACCACATTTAGAGTATTGTGAGCAATTTTGGGCCCTATACCGCAGAAAAGATGTACTGGCCCTGCAGTGGGTCCAGAGGAGGTTCACGAGAATGATCCCAGGAATGAAAGGTTTAACGTATAAGGAATATTTGAGGACACTGGATCTATGCTCCGTGCAGTTTAGAAGGATGAGGGGGGATCTAATTGAAACTTACAGAATACTGAATGGCCTGGACAGAGTGGATGTTGGAAAGATGTTTCCATTAGCAGGAGAGAGTAAGACCCGAGGGCACAGCCTTAAAATAAAGAGAAGACCCTTTAGAATGGAAATAAGGAGAAACTTCTTCAGCTAGAGAGTGATGAATCTGTGGGATTCATTGCCACAGAAGGCTGTAGAGGCCAGGCCGTTGCATATATTTAAGATACAATAGATAGGTTCTTGATTGTCAAGGGGATCAAAGGCTACAAGGAGAAAGTGAGAGAATGGGGTTGAGAAATTTATCAGCAATGATTGAATGGTGGAGCAGACTTGATGGGCTGAATCGTCTAATTTCTGCTCCTATGTCTTATGGCTTCATAAATTGTCTTGGGAAGATTTGAACTTAGAATCTCTGAGTCACTGTTCTAAAATTTTGACTGTTTGGTTATCATCAACATTTTGGCCTTTTCTTACATTCTTTGGCTTGCAACCAATCAAGACAGTGACACATTACAGGCTCAAAACTATCACAAAGAACAACTTTAAAGTGCACATACCAAATGTGAAGGAAAATGTAATTTAATGTTTGAACAAAATGACAGCTTGACCTAGTGGTGGTACTGTGTCACCTTTGATTCAGAAGGTTGGAAATTCAAGCCACAGAGCAGGACTTGAGCACATAATGTAAACTGGCAATTCCATGTAACGCCAAGGATAGTTGGAAGTATTGGCTTTCTATAAAATATTAAGCCAAAGCTCCATTAACCTGAAATTAGGATAGAATATTCCATTGTACTGTTCTTTGAAGATCACAGTGTTCTGTAGTGCATTGACCAGTGTTTACCCCTCAACCAACACCATGAATAAATTGGTTAACTAACTAATTGGTTAGTTATATCACTTCCTGTTTACAAAACTTCAAAATATTCAGCTGTGTGCACTCTGGAACAGGCAAAGAATGTGAAAGGTGCTATATCAAAATCAAATTCATTTTATTTGTTCGATCATTTTCCTGTTTTCAAAAAGTTTATAACTGGTTTGCGTCTCACCCTGCTCTACCTTGAAAATGAATGTGTCAGCTTCAAAGGAAATATGATGACACATCACCTCCATTGAAACATTCACCCTGAATGTACCCATTATTTCATACAGAATCCGTTCAGTAAGAATGTGCATGCTATAAATTTGCTATTTTTATTCAAGGCACTTCGTACCAGAAAATTGCCAGTAATGGTGGATTCCACGGACCAAAAACCCAATTGGTGAGAACACTTCATCTACATGTGGCAATTTTATGTTTATTCATGGTTTAAAAAATCTTGTATGTATATAAAGCTCATGAGCTTGTGTCTGTTTCGCAATGTACTACTCCACCAAGAGAAGAAATAATGAGTTTAGATTATTTTCCTCAATGCAATGAATTTCAAACCTAAGCTAGCTTGTTACATAGGAGGAAAAACAAGGAACAATTACGAAAGGGAATGAAATAAATCAAAACTGAAATCAGAACTGAACCTTAGGATTTTGATGACCTCATAAATAATTCAGACTTCAAAGCCCCATTGATTATTGTACACTTTAGTAATACACCTGAAACCTGTCCCCTATGCTGTAAAATGAAAATATCCTTTGTATATTATTGCTGTTAAAAGTTGTCTCAGTTACATAGATTATGCTGCATTGCACAATAAATAATGGTTTAGTAAAAGTCTCCTGCTTGTTTTGATTTAAAAGTTTTTTTTCCATGCTTTATACCTGGAATTAAGCTTTAGTTTACATGATCTAGTAAAATAGATCTTCAAATTAACAAGATTATGAAGTAATGTAAAATTTTTGTGGGGCTGGAACCTAACCTTTTCTATGGTGAGATTTGCTCTGGGACCTATTACATGTGACCAGCATCTATTAGAACAGTTACTGGTGACTGCCCTCGAAAACTTCTTAACTACTGAATTTATTATTACCACAGTGGTTGGTAAGAACATACAGAAACGTAAACTTCCAGAAACAAAGGTTGTAAAGGTCTTCCTTTCCAAGAAATTCTACTCGATTTTTCTTGTAAAGTTTTGCCTTGTTTCCTTTCGGTGTTTCCCATTTCCCAGTTGTTGTGTGTCTTTTTTTCCCAGTATATCAGCAGGACAGAGTGACAATGAAAGTAATGTGGATACCTCCTTGAAAGAAAAGAAAGCTGAAGAAGATTTGAAAGGTGTAACTGAAGAATGTCCAGCTGGAGTTTCTCTGCAACTGTGGAAAGTATTTATTTTTAATTTTATAATTTTGAATAATTGTTACAAAATTATATAGCTTTTTACCTGTAGTAATATGCTTCATGCCATACACTATACACATCTGTAAATATAGCAGTACACTGTCCTTAGGTCTATACTGCCAATTTACACATTTTAAAACAATTTTGACAAACGGAAATATTAAATGGCTGTTAGCTACATAATAGGCACTGCAAATGACTGGTAGGGAGTAACAGAATATTAGCGATGGTGGTGAAGGGGTGGCAATATGCATCTAGGATCAGTTAAACAAAATGGTCATGGTGTCTCTACAACATTTTGATTTATTGGAGAAGGAAGATGTACTAAAATAAGCTGTAGTACGTCCTGTAAATTATACCAACAACAGGAACAGTGCAGTGGTGATGGAAGGAGTTAATTTTGTGTGAATTGACTTGAGGTATTATTTTTAAAAAAACTGCTTTGACCTGCATAATGTTGAGTTTTTTGCAGATTGCTGCAGCTTTGCTGATGTGAGCGCACCTGACTTTAGCCTTAGCCTTGTCGTCAACTTCTAAATTGCCTCCTTTAGTGATTGAAGAGTCTGAGATTTCTAACATTTCCAACTAGCTTAATCCTCTGAAAAGAAGTTACCAACCTAAGTATTCTGCAATGATTCCAATGCTTAGGTAGTTCCCTGTGTCTTGGTGGCTAGAACAGAATGTAGTAATCAAAATACAGAGAGAAAAACGTGCCCTCCAACTTTAGCGGACCAGTGTCATAGTAATGCTTGATTTGATGAAAGGTGTAAATATAAATATATAAGAACATAACAGTGTAAGGAGCAAGAGCAGGATTAGACTGTAGAGCGCCCACAAGCCTGCAATGCCATTCTGTATGACTGGGGCTGATCGTCATCCTTCATTTCACTGCTCACTCCCCTTATCCCTTGATTTACTCAAGAGGCCAAAAATCTGCAATCCTCAATATTAAATCCATTCAATGATAGAACATTCACTAAGGTTTAGAAGTCTAGAGCTTCACACCCTTTGAGTACAAGAAATTCCCCATATTTCTGTCCTAAATGGTCAGCCATTTATCCTGAGACCATTCTGCTGGGCTCTAGATTCCTCAGTTAGGGGAAACAACCTTGGCGTGTCTTTCCTATTAGGCCTCTGAAGAATTTTATATGTTCCCATAGATGACCTGTTATATCTTGTATCAATTAGTGTTTAGAAGAAAGCAAGGTGATCTTATTGAAACATGAAAGATCCTGGGGTTGGGGCTAGACAGGGTAGATGCTGAAAGAGTGGTTCCCTTTATGGAAAAGAGATTAGAACTTTGGGACACAGTTTGAAAATGGGTTCTCCCAATTAAGGTGACAATGGAAAGGATTTTTTTTCTGTCAGAGGATTGTTAATTTGTGGAATTTTCTTCCCCAGAGAATTCTGTAGGCTTGTAATGAGTGCTTTTTTTTAAAAGGCTAAATTAACTAGACAAGGGAGCCAAATAAGGGTAGCCAGAAAAATAGAGGTTATAATCAGATCAGCAATGATCTGATCATGTGGTAGTAAAGGCTGAAGAGCCCAAATTGACTAAGCCTGCTCCAAATTCTTATGCTTTTATGTATTATTACGAGAAAAAAGTACAGACCAGATTTACTCAGCCTCTCATCATAGGACAACCCTATCGTCCCAGGAAACTGTATATATTAATACACAGAAACCTTTTCTTCAAAGACATAAGAAATATGTTACATATTACAACTGGACAAATTAGGCGATGGGCTTTCTCTGGTTCAAGGCATGAGAGTCAACTTGCCCGCTTTAAATTTAAATAAAGCTTGGCAGTTAACTGTCAGTCATCATCTAACTGTTACATTTTCTTTGGGAATGCATCTTCCATTCAATCAACTTGCCAATGAATCAGCTCTCTATCTCATGCAATATTAACATGTTGTATGTTGGAATGCCTTATATGTCAGTATTCTCATGAATATCCTGACAAATACAAGATGAAAAGCTTTGACTAAATGTGACTTTTTCCAGCAATACTCAAATTTTGCACTACCAACAATTATTTCTCAATGTTTCTTTTGCAGTCTCTTTGTCTCCTTTTCATAGTTCACATTCCCACACCCTTGTGTCAGCAGTATACTTAGAAACGTTACTCTCTAGTCCATTACTAATATAGACAGTAAATAGCTGTGACCCCAGTACTGATCCATGTGGCATTCCACTAGCCACAGTCTGCCAAACTGAAAGTGCCGCACTTTCACCCGCTGTCTGGTTTCTGTCTGCCAACTAGTCTTCTATCCATGCTAATATAGTAGCCCAATTCCATGATCCCTTTTGTGTGATTTTTTACTTTTGGAATGCCTTTTGGAAATACAAGTATGCCACAAATACTGGTTCCCTTTTAGCCACCCTATGAGTTACATCCTCAAAAAACTCAAATAAATTTGTCAAATCTGGTTTCTCTTTCATAAACCCATTTTGATCAAACAATGATTTTAACATAGAACAGTACAGCACAGCACAGGCCCTTTGTCCCACGATGTTGTGCCGACCTATTATCCTACTAAGATCAAACTACCCTGCATACCTACATTTTACTATCATCCACGTGCCTATCCAAGAGTCGCTTAAAAGTCTCTAAAGTATCTGACATCTTACAATGGCACTTCATTCCCATACAGTCTGTATTATTGGTATAGATCATTGCTGAGAGTTATGAAATATCTCTTTAATATGTCTGCTACTTTCCATCTATCTTTCAACACATTTTCTCAGTTCAGTTTAATGAACCCTGTCCCTATAAGTACGGACAATTACAAGGATAAGACTCTTAGTCATAAACACTTTTTCACATTCAAACCAAATGCAAAATTCTATCATGTTATTTTCTAAGTACGTTGTTAAAATATCCTTAATAAGAAATTCCAGCATTTTCCTGATGATGAATGCCAGACTTACTGGCCAATAATTCCCTATTTTCCCCCTCCCTCATTTCTTGAACATTCTACCAGTATCTTCTTTGTTGTGAAATAAACTCCAATATAGAACTTACACAGGCTATAATGAGCACTTTATTGCTATTTGCTTTAACTACAAAATCAATATTTTCTTAGAAATTCCAGGAATTGAAAGATAGAAGGAGTTCCATAACTAAAGCCGCTTTTAAAAAGAAGAGTCGATGGAAGCGAAAAGCTGCTGGTACAGGTACGGCATTATGGGGAAATTCAAGACTTTAATAAAAATTTTAAAACAATTGTGCTGTAACTTTATTGTAGCTAATCTAACTTATAATTTAAAAAAAAATTAAACTGAAATTCTCTACTTTTTTTTCAATGAAGTGATAACTTATGTAAAACATTTTTGTTGAAATTACATACGTGAATGAAGTTGCCACTGCACATCTGACTAGTCTTATTCCATCTAAATCAGCTGGAATGAGTCTCTGCTTATGTCTGTGCCATCTAGACTGCTCAAGGCTGAGGTGCATTCAAATGAGAGTGCATAACTTTAGCCTGCATTTCCCCTTCTCAGCAGATCTATAGCAGGGAAATAACACTGCAATCTCATTTTTAATTGTGTTTTTCATTGACAACATGTTAAATGCATATAGCTCTCAATTGTGCAGATTAAAATAGAATGGTAGTTTCAAACAGATGCCAATGAGTGCAAAAAAAATTCTTTAGATGGTAAGCATACTTTAATAAATTAAAATAGTTATAACTCATTGTATAGATGTGTAAATATAGGCTATGTAGAATAATTAGCCTCTCTATTCATTACCTTGGTAGTCATTATCATAGATCATAGAAGATCATAGAATCCCTACAGTGTTGAAACAGGCCCTTCGGCCCAACAAGCCCACACTGACCCTTGGAGCATCCCACCCAGACCCATTCCCCTATAACCCACCTAAGCTGCACATCCCTAAACACTACGGGCAATTTAGCTTGGCCAATGCACATAGCCTGCTTATCTTTGGACTGTGGGACGAAACTGGAGCACCTGGAGGAAACCCACGCAGACACAGGGAGAATGAGCTAACTCCACTCAGACAGTCGCCCAAGGGTGGAATCAAACCCTGGTCCCTGGCGCTCTGAGGCAGCAGTGCTCACCACTGAGCCACCATGCCGCCTACTCTGTGAAGATGGTAATAATTTGAGGATCATCCAAGTGAATGTTTTAAAATACTGTGGATAATACTCCCTTGAAATCTGTTTAGTTATTTAGTTATCACATGCAGATTTACTCGAAAACTTGGTGTCACCAAATTTCACCCATATTACAAAAGTGTTCTGGCTCACAATAGTAATGAATGTGTGGATAACATTTTATCATCTTCACATAGAAGACCCGACAAAAGTAGAAACAAACGATGAGAAATCTTCCATTAAAATGAAGAAATTCGAGCAAGAACAGAAAATTGAGAATAAAAGGTACTTAAGTGGAAATAATGTACACAGATTTTCTCAGTCTTGTTGACAACCGTATGATTATAATTCATCTAGTTTTAAAATTCAGTTTAAAAGATTTTTAAAAATTGCAAGGCTATTTTTTTTTTCTTGATAACAGTTTCACCAATGAAATCTGAAGTTTTGTTTCTGCAATTTTTATGGTTTTTTTTCATTAATTTACAGGATGTGGATGCCTATCCTTAATTGCCTTTCAGAGAGTGGTTTGCCATTTCAGAGGGTGATTAGGAGTCAACCACATGTTGTGGGTCTAGGATCACATACAGGATAACAGAATTACTTTCCTGAAGGAGCAGATGACTGTCTAATAATAGTCTAGAAGTTAGATGTTCATCATTACTAATACCTGCTATTATTCCAGATTTATTTATTAACCAAGAGTGAATTGCGGAGCTGTGAAAATTTGAACTCCAGTCTCTGGATCATTAGTGCAGACATCTGGATTGCTAGCGCAGTAATATTACCACTATTCTACCAACCCTTAACTTTAATTTATACAACTTATTTTGAGATTGTTTTCTTTTGATTTTAAACTTAATCTTGAGCAGTATGTACATAACCTATTCAAGACATTGAGTCTAAACACAGATATATGGGATGGCTGTAACCAATTCTGTAAATTGAATTGATTAATTGTAACTTTGTTGATAATGTTGAGGTTTTGTTTGCTTCTAGTGATGTGTTGGATGCCCGAGAGTCACACTGGAGTGAACTAAAACAATATTTTGGAACAAATGACAGATTTGAGATTCCTGCATGTAGTGCACCTCCTTTAAAGGTAAGAACGTTGACTTATATATTCTACATACTGTATGAGTTCAGTTGGTTTTGAATGGATTGCATCCATATAATGCCTTGAATGGGAAAAACACGTAGCCAGCAAGTGAGAATTGGGGGGAATGACCGAGCCCTTGGTCTAGGAGATAGCTCTTGAGAACCTATGAAATGTAATGGTTTAGAAAGGAAGTGCTAATATGCATAACTGAAATGGCCCACTGTTGAGGACAAGGGGAAGGGTGTTAAATGGAAGGCTAGAGTCAGGAGCTGAGCATGTAGAAGAGAATAGGGGGCTACAGTAGGTTATAGTGATGGGTGAAGCAAAGACCAAAGAAAGAGAAGGTAAACTTTGAGGGTAAACTTAGAAGCAATATCAAGATGGACAGCAAGGCGTTCTTTAAATATGTAAAAAGGAAGATTCTGGAAATGTCCCAGAGGATTGGAAAACAGTCAATGTAGCACCTTCATTTTTAAAAAAAGGAGACAAAATTCAGGTTCTTGTAGGCCAGTTAGCTTAATATCTGTTATTGGGAAAATGTTAGATTATTTTATATACGATGCACAGAGCATTTTGAAATACATCATATGATCAAGTACAGTCAGTATGGCTTCATGAAGGGGAAATCATACCTGACAAATTTACTAGAATTTTTTGAGGAGGCAACATCAGGATAGATAAAGGGGAAGCAGTGGAAGTAATATATTTGGATTTTCGAAAGACATTTGACAAGGTGTCACATGTTAAGCTACTTAATAAGGTAAGACCCCATGATGTTAGAAGTAGTATATTAGCATGAATAAAGGAATGGCTAATTAACAGAGGACAGAGACTTGGGAATAAGTGTGTCATTTTCAGGATGACAGTCTTTAACTAGTGGAATGCTATAAGGATTAGTGCAGGGGCCGCAATTATTTACAAATAGATATTAAGAACTTTCAGGAAATGGAATATCCTATAACCAAATTTGCAGATGACACAAAAATAGATGGGGTAGCAAGTGGATAGGATGCAAATAATCTGAAAAGGGATAAAGACAGGTTAAGCGAGTGGGCAAAGACTTGGCAAATGGGATGTCATGTGGGGAAATGTGAGGAAATGGCGAGAAGACTGGAGTAACAGAATATTACTTTAACAAAGAAAGACCGCAGTAAGCTATTGAACAGAGGGATTTAGGAATCGTTATCCATGAATCACAAAAAACGCACATTCAAGTTTAGCGGGTAATAGGGAATGCAACTGAAATGTTGGCCTTAATTTCAAAGGTAGTGGAGTACAAAAGAAGGGAGGTCTTGCTAAAAGTACGCAAGGCATTACTCAGACCACAGCTGCAATACAATGAACAGTTTTGGGCCCTTTCTCTTAGGAAGGATATGCTGGCATTGGAGACAGCCCAGAGAAGGTTCACTCAGTTGATACTGGATATGGAAGGATTGTCTAATGAAGAGAAGTAGAGTAGGTTGTGCCTGTACTCATGGGAATTTAAAAGAAAAAGAGGTGACCTTATTGAAACACACAAGATTCTAAGGGGACTTGATAGGGCGGATGTGGAAAGGCTGTGGTAGTGTCGAGGACCGAAAGAGATAATCTCAGAATAAGGATCAAACATTTAAGACAGAGATAAGAAGGAATTTCTTTCAGACTCTTGTGAATCTGTGGAATTCTTTACAGAGGGCTGTCAAGGCTGGGTCATTAAGTATATTCAAGGCTGAGATAGACAGATTTCTAATCAGTAAAGGAATCCAGGGATGTGCTGTTGAGGGTTGTCATTATCAACCACGTTTCATTGAATGGCAGGGCAGACTCAATAGACTGAATGGCCTACTTCTGCGCCTACAACTTATAGTTTTATGGACTTGATGATGTTTGTGGACAAACCCACGGATTTTGCAATTAATGCATTGAAAGATGGGGTGAAAGAACTGTTTGATGGATCTGAGATTTAGTGCAGGGCATGATACAGATAGCAGCGTCTGAAGCTTTTCACAACCTGGCTGTTGTATTTGATCTAGAAATGATGATCTTTCAATGACGTATCTGCACCATTGGTAAAGCCATCTATTTCCACCTCTGTAACATTGTTTGTTCGCACTTCTACCCTAAGTTCACCTGCTGTTGAAGCCTTATATGCTTCTCTAGACAATTTGAACAAACGCCTGGATGGTCTTCTATTTTGCATCCTGTATAAACTTGAGCACAGGAGATTGCATTTGTTAACATTCTATCTCATACCAAATTAAGTTGGTCCATTAGTAATGAACTTACTGGCCTACATGACTTCCAGTTAAGCAATATTTCTGGCTCAAAAAACCTTACTTTTATTTCCAAATTCCTCTGTGGCCTCACCCATTCCTACCTTTGTAACCTTGAAGAACCTTCAGTTCTACCTAAATACCTAGCGCTGTGCCAATTCTGGCCTCTTGAATATCTTTTTAGTTGCTGAGGCCTTGAACTTTGGAATTTCCTCCTAAGCCCCTCGACTGAATGCCCTCTTTCTGTTCAATAAGTGTTTCTGTGTTCCTTGACTTTCCCTCTCATAGAGTCATAGAATCCCTACAGTGTGAAAAGAGGCCATTTGCCCCATTGAGTCTGCGCTGACTCTCTGAAGAGCATCCCACCCAGACTCCCAGCCTATCCCCGCATGCATTGTTTTACTCCTTTAAACCTCTTCTTAAAATATACTTCCTGTCAAAGCATTTAGTAAAATGCATTTAGTATCACTTTATGTGGCTTACAGTTGAATTTTGTTTTGATGCACCTTGAGATGGTTTACTTCTTTAAAAGCTATACATACAAATGCAGTTTTTTTTCGAGTATTGGATGGTATAAAACTGAAAGATGGAAAGCCAGCAGGGGGAGCATTAGGTTAGTTAAGAATGGACGTAGAAAAGATGCATGCACAGGTTTCAGCAGCTGAAGGGTGGAACACACAGTTTTGAAAAATTGAAAGTAAGCTGTCTTGACGATGAATAGGATGTCAAATTTGAAGCTCACATTCGATTTTAGGTTTACAAGATTACAAAGTTTTGTTCACCCTGAGAAGGTGACTGTTCCATCAGTTGTCAGTTTCATGTATGCAGCTATGTTGAACATTTCATCATTATCTGAAGTGAATTTAATCACCAGAGGAATGCATGAGGAGCAGATGTGTCCCAATCAACCTTTTTTTCAAAAAAATTATCTCCTGTCCATTTTATATCATTCACTTCCATGTCATCTCTCTTTTAATAAAGCACTTCGCCCCAGGTCTTCTATTACCAACCTAGGTGTATAGATTGCTCAGAAGATGTGTACATAGTAATAATACTTTGTTAGCATTTCCTTGGGGAGGGAACTTATCATACATCAGTTGGCAGGTTGGAATGCAACACTCATTCAAATTGTCTTTGCAAACGTCTAATCTGAGGTAAATCTGGTATAAATCAACTTGCTCCAAAACAATATGAAAAACTCAACTACTGGGGAGAGGTTAATTGCTAGTCTTGGAGAACAGGATGACACATATTATTTTGCAGCTATTCCTTCCCCTCCCCATCACCACACCACACCCAGAATGATTGTTGATTTGCCTTTTCTCACTGGGTCATTGTTACGCTGTATAGTCAGTGTGTAGTGGGCAATCTAAACTCAGCAAAAATCATAACAGCTTAATATGATCAATTGCTTATTGGCTGTGTGTTTTTAAGATAACTTTAATATTGAAGTAATAAATTATGGTACTGGCCCAGGGAAGTGCATTGCTAAACAATAAAATGAAGGAGATCAACAACAAATTAAATAAATTATGCTTTTTGAAATAAACCTGTATTATGCTTTATATATTAACCTGCTTAACCATCAGCAGGATTGTTCACATAAGAGAACTTATTTAAATAATTCCATGGAAGAACAGTAGTAGCAGAAACTTACTTTTGATAAGTGCCTCCAATGCAGCAAAAAGTACAAAAGAAACGGAATATTTCTAACACCAAACAAGAACTCAATGAAGAGCTGTGAGTCGTGATTGGAAAGGTTCTGAAATTTAGCTTTGAGCGCAGTAAGACAGGAAGCAATAAGGAGAATTGAACATGAGAGGTGATCACTGAACCATCAGTGGAACAAGAAAAGGTAGAGATGCATGGTTGACCAAACTTGGGAACAGAATGCACAAACTGACAGTTGAGTTGGTGCATGTAGATATGGTACGGTGTAGGACTATGAAGGGATATCTGGTCAGTAGCGATTTTGAAGTCTGTCTTGAAGAAATGATAAACTTACAGGGTTGATGAGGACAGGAATGATAGATAAGTGGGGTTTAATACAGAGTAGGGCAAAGATTTATAAATAATGTCGAGCGTACATAGGTTGGAGCCTAAAAGGCCAGTGAGGAGGGAATGCGAGAAGTTCAAACTAAGCACACCGAGATGTGAATGAAGGTTTACTTATTGTTTGTATTTGGATGAGTTGAGGATGATGGTGAGCAATAAAGAAACTCACTTGAAAAAGCTACAGTAAATTTCAGCTTCATCAATGACTAAAGATGTCTAGTTTCATTCTTATCTATCAAATTATAGCCAAAGCATCACCTGTAAAGGCTTCTCTTCGTGCATCATTGCTTCTGGAGCTCCTCAACAATCTATTTTTGGTCCCCTTCTATTTCTTGTCTGCAGACGTCACACCATCATCTGAAAGCACATTCGATTCCACATGAACTCCAGTGACCCTCGGCTCTAGCTCAGTGTCACTTCCTTTGACCATGCTTCTGTAACTGATCAGTGACTGCTTATCCAATAATGGATGAACAGAAATTCCTCCCAACTAACTATTAGGAAAACTGAAGCTTTTGAACATTTGTTGTTCAAACAATTTGAATCTGAACCACGATAATAAAACAAAAATAATTTCAGTTTCATGGTGTAAGATAGATTGAAATACACGAGCATAATCTGATTACAAAAATCCCCCACTCCCGACCTCATCCCAAGACCAGCCCAGCTCGTCCCCGCCTCCTTAACTTGTCCCTCTTTTGTCCCACCTATCCACTCCTCCCACCTCACCTCCACCCCGTCTTCCTACCTACTAGCCTCATCCCCGTCTCCTTGACCTGACCATCTTCTCTCCACCTATCTGCTCCTTTATCCATCATCGCCTCCCCCTCTCTTTATTTATTTCAGAGCCCCCTTCCCCTCCCCCATTTCTGAAGAAGGGTCCAGACCCGAAACGTCAGCTTTCCTGTTCCTCAGATGCTGCCTGGCCTGCTGTGTTCATCCAGCTCTACACCTTGTTATCTGATTACAGGCTATTTTTCCAAATTTTTTTTCTGAAGATATTGAATTGGGGATTGAGGAAGCGAAGTTACATTTTTGCAGAGGTACTTCCATAAAGATTGTAGCACAAAAATCATATTCTGCAGAAGACTTTTGAAAATCATTTGTCTTGTGCACTACGTTTCTTGTAATTCATAAGCTACTGTCTACACCTGTGTAGGCATATATATGTGTAGATTTACACTAATCAGTATTGTGGATCAGTCTAAACCAAATGGACTGCTGTGGTTCAAGAAGGCATCTCACCATTACCTTCTCAAGGGCAACTGGAGAAGGCTTATGAAGTATTTTGAGGACCTGGCAGGAAAATGAATTTGAGGCCCAGATGAGATCAGCTATGATCATATTGAATGGCAGAGAAGCTCCTGCTCCTAGTTCTTATGTTCTTATGTAATAAATGCTGGCCCGTCAAGCAATGCACATGAATTATTTTGTTTAAATCATGTGGATTAGGGAAACCCAGGTTAAATGGAATTTTCTTTTGACTTTTGCTCATTGCTGCTCATTCACATTTCATCCTTGCTTTGTCTTGTAGCCACATGCAGTCTTTCTTGTGCAGAATAGTTTAATAACATTCAGCTGCATACCAGAGTTTAAATATTTAGACTCTTTAAGACCTGAATGCCAATTAACAGTGTCAATCAGAGTGCTTCATGACACTTAATGGCATTGTAAAGAAGAGACTGGATCTACTGCAGGGAATGAATTGATGGACAAGTGCTAAAAATATAATCGATGTAGAACAGGTTGAAACTAGTCCAGTAACATGCCAATTGCAGAAATTCATCCATTACACTATTATTTCAACATATTTTCTGTTAGCTTTCATATGATGATTTAAATCCTTTTTTAATGTCTTGAGGTAAGTATCTTGTGCATGAAAAAGTAATTGAACTAGTTAGTGGAATAAATAAATTGAGATTACTTGAACATTATACAGCAAACTTTTTATTAAGCATCACCAATAGAACTGGAGTGTGCCGGTTGATCAAATATTCTGGTTGATGAAGAGGTCCACATAATCAATGTAAAAACCCACACTAAGTAATAGAAACATAATGCAGGAGATAAACACATCACTGTTATATTTTATTTGCAGCATGAATCACTTAAGCTTTATTTTAAAGTAAAGTTGCATTATTATTTAACGGCAGAGAGCCTTCTCACTCCTCAACTGACTACTCGGAGAATGCAGAGATCATGATAGTATAGTAAAGTTCTGATATTTCAGATATACAGTTCTTGCTGGTTTATCGAGGGCGCCGTTTGAGAAGGTATCGGTTTAAACAAAGTTTGCTGTACATCAAATTATCAGCTTTCAATTAGTAAAATCTGAAATGATAAACTGTAAATCAGTCCAGTATTATACTCTTGAAACTGAAGTACGAAAACGTTAAATTGTCTTGTTACTGTTAAATATTGGTTCTTATGTACAACATCACCTTTGTCAGTGTGCATGTTTTGTTCGCAAAAAACAATAGCATTGTAACTTATTTTTGCTGTGACATGTTTTAAAGTGAAACCTAATGCCAGCTTGAGAGGAGACTGTTACGTACACTTTGAAACAAAGGATTCAAGGGTGCAGGAATCATAATGTGATTCCTGAGACTTCAGTACTAAATAACAACAACTACTTATATTTAGATAGCACCTTTAACATAATGAAACAGCCCAGGCATTTCACAAGTTCACTTCATGATAAAACAAAATATGACACAGCCACATAAGGAGATATTAGGTCAGATGACTAAAATCTTGGTCAAAATACAAGGTCTTAGGAGGTGTCTTAAGGGAGGGAAGGGAGTGGAAAGAAATAAGGATGGGCATTCCAAAGCTTCGAGCCTAGGAAGCTGAAGATGCAGTCTCTAATCAGTGAGCCATTAAAATTAAGGCTGCTGAAGAGGTCAACGTTAAAGGAACATAGATATTTTGGAAAGTTGTGGGACTGGAAGAAGGTATAGAGTTAGGAAGAGGCTAGACCATAGAGGGATTTGAAAGCAAGGTTGAATATTTTATATTCTTGACCAAGAGCCAATGTGGGATACCAAGCAGAAGAGTTGTAGGTGGGCAGAGCTGGTGCAAATCAAGGTATAGGTAACAAAATTTTTGATGACCACAAGCTTACAAATAGTGCACTGTGGAAAACCAGCCAAAAGTGGATTGAAATAATCTGGTCTAGAGGTATAGAGTGTAAGTGAGGATTTCCACAATATTGAACTGAAACAGGGTGCAGTCTGGCTATATTACAGAAGTGGGAATATGTGGTCTTGGTGATGGCCCAAATGGGAGGTTGGAAGCTGAACTTGTGGTAATATGTGACGCCAAGTTTGCAATCAGAGTGGCTTAAGCTTAGACTGTTGCTGGGGGCAAGGGATGGAGTCAGTAACTGGTGATAACATTAATATTGTTGTTAGAGGGGCAAGACTTGTGGACAATAACTGACACTACTTTATTTACCAGTCACTGGTTGTTCATAACCTTATCTTGTGTATATATTTTTTTTAATCATTGCCAATTGGAGCCTCAGGTGATTGAAGTTTACATGCTGTTATTTGTAATTCATTTATTAAACCGCTTTTTCAGACAAATTTAGAGAAAAACCTTGACAAGGCCATTGCTACAGGGGATATAGAAGAAGCAGAGAAGCTGAGTGACAGCCTAGCTGTTCGTAGGGTAAGCTGCTAACCATAAGCTAAGAGATTTTATCTTGATAAATTATGTTAATATTTCTTTAACCTTTCTGCAAAGAAAACAAATATGTGAATTATTTAGAGCATCCTTGGAGTCTGTGTGCTGAACTTCCCCTTTAGTTTGGAAGTGTCTTTCATAATCCCAATTTCAGATAGTCAGGCCAATCACCTGTGATTTTGGTCTAAGTTTCAGGTATAGATGGTGTTAAGACTACCCTTCACCTGATAGAAGCCCAAAGCAGAAACTGAGAGGGCGAATGCTGAAGCCAACAGATAAGCAGCCCCTCTTTGTTTACTGGGGCATCGGCTCAGTTCTATCCATGGTTTTTATATGCTCTCACACACTCATCCCCGATACCACTTCCATGCCCCAGCCCAGATTCCCTCTCTATTCCCCTTGTAACTCTTATGTGCCATTTATACCACCAAATTATCCATGTATTCTCCGTTCCCCTCATTTCCTTTCACACTTGCAGTGACTCTGTATCCTCCCTCATATCTCTTATGCATCTTCCATGCCCATTCAACAAGGTCAACTACATAATAAAATATGAAATTTGAAGAACAGTCCCCTTCACAGCTATGTAGATATTCCTCACTGGGCTGAATCTTTTGGGTCTTGGATCTCAGTCAGGCATTCATGATGAGGCCATTTGGTAAATGTGAACATTGCTTCATAAGCTTTGTTGATACAGTTGTGGTTGTGGATATGAGGCATATTTTACATGTGGAGCGGATATGTCCTCTTAGAAAGAGGAGGTTGCATGAAGAACTGAAACATTGTTCCTCCAAATGAGAAATGAAGCAGTAACTTTTAGTTGCTAAATTAACCAAATAATAAGTACTAAAGTAACTAAATACTAAAATTACTCTTAAATATAATGGAAATGCAAAATATTATTATCGTGGGTTTCATTTTGAAAGCTGAACAATTTTCTGGGCAATTTCAAATGCTCAGTGATATTTGAAACAACGCACCGCACTGTTATGAGAGGACGTACAGCAGCAACATTCATTTTGCATTGGTTGCAGAGAGCCAAAATGACATCCTTCTGTGATTTTGTGCTTTGCATGTTTTATTAAGTATGAATATTACAGCTTCTTTGCTAACTATGAAGCGATTAATATTGTGTTTTCCTTATGCACACATTCACGAACTTCTACATATATAAAGTTAACTGTACTACATCATAAAATATGGCTTCAGCGGCGTCATGGTTTACAGCATTAAAGAATTTTATCCATTAACTGGATTTTCCTTCCTCAGCTCTAGTCCAGCATTTTATGGTGATTATATAGTAATGGACAGCAATATTAATGAAATGTTGGTGGAACGACCATTTGATGCATTAGTTTTACAGAGGAATTTCGTAGTGAATTGGTGATAGTGGCACTTTGGAGATGATGTAGCAATAATACCATACCATAGAATTGCACTGTTCAAGTTGCAAGTACTGTCACATGATATATCATCCACATGTTGGTATTTTCACTGTGCCAAAAGACAGCCAAGAGTAATATTTTGATGAACAGAATGTGCTGTGATGACTGACATTGCAGGTGGTGTACATTAATTTGGCAGTATTCACAATAAGTAGTCTTGGATTGTTCCGACACAATTGAATTATTTTTGCTTTCTTTACAAAGTGTGGACATTGGTTTTTTTCCTGGAACCTTGACAAAAATTTACTATCTGTACTTTAAGGAGAAAGTAAATTACGTCAGTCATGCCGGAGAAATTCAGTCCTGCTTACTTTGAATGCTGACGAGAAAATGCCATGCATGCAGAATGTCAGCAAGAGTACATGCTGTCAATCAAAATGTCATCCTTTATTGGCCTTCCGTTGGCAGCTCACCAGAATGTAAATTTTAGTTTAACCGGGAATAAAGAAGATAACGAGTGATTTTTTGTGTGTGTTCCAGCCTCTTCAGTGGTGCTCAACTAGTGATAACGAAGATAGGAATTGAGGTTTGAGTTGTACTGAATATTTTAATTTTTAGGTTCATATGTAAATTGAGTTCAATTAGCATAATACGTGGAGATATCCCTGATGGCAGCAATTTATATTCTACAATCAAGTTTAGAAATAACCTAAGTTGTTTATACAGATAAGCTGTTAATATTAACTATAATAGCAGAGGTTTTACCTGTCAGGTTTAATAAATTTAAAACTAAGCTCTTAATGAAGATAGAAAAGCATTGTCAAAAATAAGTGGCACTGCCTTGCACTGCCATATATCATCTTTCCATACAACAGACCATTTGAGTATTGACAATTCTGAAAAGATGTGAAAGAATTGTAACTGGTGCAATGTGCCACATTTACAAATTATTGGCTAATCGCTTTGAAATTACTATTGCTGATATTAGAAGGCAAGCATTTG